TATTTAAGAATACAATTTCAAAGTTTCAATAATTAACATTTATTCAATTGATAATAAGCATTGGACGACCGTTTCGTCCTAGTATGGGACGCCTTAACAATGCGTATCCACGATTCCGTCTTGCGAGATTCAAACCCAGAACTTATTAGTCTTGCGCGTGAGCACTTAACTGAAGAGTTCCATAGTGGGAAAAAACGTCCATCCAGTGCTTCGAGGTTTTCCATGGTTGTCTAGCTTCAAATGACTCATCATTTCGACCATTGAAATATTTAATTAAAATAAGATTGAATAGCTGAATTCATGAGACGATTAAAGCTAAATCACTATGGAAAACCTGGAAGTACTGGATGGCCATTTCGTTCTAGTATACGTTCTGGGTACGAATTCCATGAGCGGGATTGTAAATTCGCACTGCTGAGGAGTCTTTTACTGAAACTAATTGACCCGTAAATTCAACTACTAAATTATTACAATCTCTGCAAGCCCCCCTTTTTGATAATAATCATCATGTGCTCACTAATGACTTGCTTCAAGATGGACTTCCTGGATTTCTGGTAAGAATTCGTGACCAGTGGTGTTCAACCGTGTCTGTTGTGAGGTAATAACTCATTGAAGACATCAGGAAACGGTGGAGTGATTCCGTGTATTGGTTGAAGTTAGACATTAACACCGTTGAATGCCAGTTCAATTGTCTAGAGTTTAAGAGTTCCTGCACGAGAGAGAAGGTACTAGGTTTGAGTCCCGCGTGCGAGATCGTGAGTGTGCACTGTTAAGGAGTCGTATTGTAGAACGAAGCGATCAGGTTTTCCATGGTAGTCTAGCTTTAATCGACTTATGAATTCAACTATTATATCTTATTTTCAAATAAATAAGTTTTTGAATGGAAACTTTGATTTTCGAAATGTTTACTGGCACTGAATGAACAACAGAGTGAAGTTCTGTTATTCTACACTCAAAGATTTTCAAATACAATTTCAGTGTAAGTTGTCTCCATGAAGTCCTACTTAAGATGTGTTACAGCAGTTGATCAGTCTGTGTTTATATAAATACATTCTTTTAGATCAATCAGTTATTAAGTTGCTCCTGATTTGTGAATCTTATATTGATCGAAGGATGTTAAAAACAATACTGTCATAAAAGAAAGTTTATAATTGAATTGAAATATAGATCAAATCAATTACCATTGATTACCTGTGTATGTCTAATTAAAAATTAATTATCTATTCATTAGATATTTTGGCTAATCAACTAGTTTGGTATAAGTAATAATAGAATAGGAAAAAAAGACATAGTTTCAATGAAAGTACAAATGAATCTGGTATCTTGAACATAAAACTGATTCCTATTTGTTTAATTCTTATTCATAATCCTAATAAATTAGGAAAATAACAAAGTTATTGTGTGAAATAGTTCTATGGAAATTTCTAAATTCATCGATGATAATTTTCATAAGGAACAGACATCAGTAGAAAAAAAGCCATTAAAAATGTAATAAAGCCGCAGAGTTATGTTATTCTAGTTTGAGATTTTACTTAACAGCATTCAGTAGCGTGCACATTTGAAACCAGTTTTAATCTCATGAGAAAAAAATCTTTTGTAATCAGCTGTTCTGTTTACTGATATACATTCAAGTACTGACCACTCAGGAAAATTTTAATTCAGTAGTCCATCTCATGTGTATATGCAAGCATAGTTTCTATTACATACTGGCAATAGCTGAAGAACAATAAAAGATCACACAAAACTTGTAAGCTTTTACTTAATAATCAGTGATTTTTCAGCTAAGTTTATCGAAGATCTCATAGAAAATAAAACTCTGGGTCCTTAGTTTTTCTATAAACTACTAAGCTGTTAGTTATTGATTTAAAAATACGGCTCCAGTCATTTGCATAACCACGCTAAAATCTCTTGATGTAGCACAAAGTAACAAATTACACCAATTAGATTGTGAATTTAATTCATTTACGTCAGCCATATTAAAGCCATCTACCAGCTAATTCATTGTCTGTAGTTCTATCTTTTTTTACCTAACTAATGGGCTAAAAAAACGTTTACTGGTGTAAACTGTGTCTGCTAAAGCTTTAAGTCGGTCTAATTACTCATTTAAATCCATTTTATACTGTATTATGTATGATCACTTATCATTGGTTACTACAGTCAACTTTCGTGCATTATTGAGTAAAACGATAACATCAACATAGAAAGTTGATTTGTTGTATGATTAAATACTCATTTTATGCCGGGCAAGTATATCAAAACTATTGATTCCTTTTTCTGCTCAGGAAATATTTTAATAAAAATGCATCATATGTTACTCGATTATGAAATAGATAATCCCTTAAGTTGATTATGAAATACGAGAGAATTTTGTTTGTTTCTTTTACCTACTTAATTATTATAAAGTAATATGAAATAGAATAATCATTTTTCTAATGCCTCATGGATATTTTACTGTGATTAAGTCAATAGTAAAACAATGATTTTTAAGAACTTCGAATTGATAAAAGAAAATTAAACCTACGACCAATTAATTTATTTATATAACAAGACACATGTGCACCGTATGATAAAATGGTTTCCTTAGTAATATGAATTAATAGAAATAAAAAATTCTACGACACTTAGATGGTGGAGATTTGTAGTTCAGGTGAATGATTTTGATGGAGTTCTGTAGTCTGAGCTGGATGGTTTGGTCATGGAGCTTTCATCGTTCTTCTGAACAAGGTCATTATTTCAGGTATAAATTTGTGCTGGTGATGTTGCTCAGAAGAACGATGAAATCTCCACGACCAAACCAGCTCAGACAAAAAAAAACTCCATCAAAAAAAATTCTACGACATCTCACTTCTTCAAGAGACGTGGTTATTATTCAACAAAATGAGAATTAAATAATTTCCAATATCGATATGATGGATAAGTTTGTAACCGATTAGAATATGAGTGACCTAAGATAATTTTCTTTCCTCAATACCCAATTACATATCATCATCTCACTACTAATGAATAAGAATGAAACAAATAAACGTCACTGTATGTAAATACATGGTATCATAGGTTTTTCATCCATTGTCTCTGCCTTCTTCCTTACGTTGTGTTAATCAGAATTTCTTCTAATTGGCTCCGATTTTTTTTCTAGGTTATGTCAAATACTATCATCCTAATTGCCTATAGACAGTATAACTAAATAAATCCGATGTATTCAGAATATTATGTTGAATAAGTTCAATGTTTACTTCTCATCAAAATAAACCACATTTGAGATTTACTTTACATGTTTAACATGATTAAGTTCATATCCGTAAATAATGGAAACTTATGAAATACAATGTTGGTTTCTTCTAAAGTGAATATTTGCAATCTTGAGTGATTCAAGTTGATTGTTTATTTTTTTAAGACTTAAAATGAAGAAAATTAATCACTTAACTACTCTGATGACAAAAATCTTTGGATTTTAAATGTCAGTTGATGATTATTATTATTAGAATGAAGGCTTATGGAGATTGTAGTGTGGTGTGTTCTACAGATGTCAACAGATATAAGTAGTACATATCATCAATCGAAGTTAATATGCCTAGTGGCAGAAGGTTAAGAAGATGAAAGAAAAGAGAACTAGAACAAAGAATAGTTGGTGTGGAAACGAAAGAACAATTGATTTATATTTTGTAAATGAATTATTTACTATATGGTTCTCAGATTTAACCAAGATATTTTGTAATTTTGCATTCAAATACATTCGATTGTTTCCATTTGTGTTCTCGTTCACTACAGTTGTAACTGTAGTAATCCTACATGAGGGTGGATGAGCACTACTGAAGAGTCCAATACTTAGACGAAACGGCCACCCAGTGCTTCCAGGTTTTCAATTGTGGTCTAGCGTGGATTAACTCATGAAATCAACTATTAAAAAAAGTTGATGATTAGTCAATAAAATCTAAAAATAAACTCATCAGTCTTATTGCTTAATCTAACAACAGTGAAATTCTGTCATGATTAAGTTAATTATTATAAGAGTTAATAAAGAAATGCTGGATGAATGTACATATCTAAACGTGCTGAGACAAGAAGATAATATTTGATTTGATTTAACTGATATTTACAATGTACTCCATGATTATACAAATATATAGCTACTTACACTTTATATTGTTTATTTGAATCTTCCCATTGAGGTTTAAGACTGAAATTGATCAGTCTCTTATTGGCATATGTGCATACTGTGCGTATGCCTCGATATTGCCTAAATTTACAAGCATTATAAGCAAAGATGGATAGTGGCTAGCAGTGGAATCCAGGACGCGCGTTTCGTCCTGTTTGGGACTCGTCAGCTGGATGTACCTGCATCTCAGAGTTGATGTTCACTCTGGGACTCGAACTCAGTACCGTTCGCTTCAAACACCATCACGTTATCTACTTAGCTACTGAATCCTGATAGTTCCAAATAGAATGAAACACGATTCCTGGGTTCTACTGCTAGCCACTATCCATCTTTGCATATATAGTTAATTAGATTATTATTAGATATCTAATTCCTTATTGATTGTGAATATCAATATAGTATATTTGTTTAAAGACGTACTCATGTAAAATATCTCTTAAGCAATTCTTTACTGTATAACAAATTAACATAACTGTACCACTGAGACCTTCAACATTTCATATCAATCAAGTTGTAATTATGTCTTCATATTTCTAATTTTTTCAAAACAATTTTTGTAATAAAAGTTCGAGTTTATTTTTCGATAACAACTTTTTAGTCCAAGAAAATGTATTGGACAATTTAAGCATTATTTATATCGATTTTTATACACCATACGGACTCATATCTCTATTGACAGATAACCATTGAAGATATGATCATTTGAACATATTTCTAGTTATATTCATGAAACTTCTATTCTGTTCATCTTTCTATAAATAAGACTTGTTACCGTTAACAAACTTTTGGATCTATGTATATTTTGTATCTTTTATTATTATGATTATTTTATTATGGTATTTAGAGGATTGTATACAGATATACCACATTTATGCTCTGAAACTGGTTACTTAATTTGGATTGAACCAAAACAAACTATGCGTGTTTTATTTACTTATGGAGATACAAATTGTGACTTTTTGTAAGTTGAAATTGATTTAACAGTTTTCATTGATTATAATAAAGCGAATTTTATGGTACTGGTTTCAAGTCTCAGACTAAACATCAAGTCTGTGATACATTTTCATCCAGCTGACGAGTCCTAAACAGGACGAAACATTCGTCTTGGATTCCACTACTAGTCAAAATCCAGCTTTGCTTATAAAGTGAATTTTAGATCAACAGATCAAGTGTTATTAGTTCAACCTTTTGATCAATTTAAAAAGACTTGCAATGTTCAAAAGATATTTGTTGCATTAAAGATCTAAGCGTTATTCACTCAATACCACAGTAGTATATGATGCCTTACATATAACTTAGTTGTAACAAATTATCAGTTGAAATGAAATATATTAAGAAATTGACTGGTTTATTGTTGTAGAACACGGCTAATTTCTTTGTTGCTATGATTGATTGACATAATTTACAATAAATTTTTCGATCTTAACAAGAATTAACTACAAAAAGGAAAAGAGAAAAATCCCCCCTGTGTTGTTACAAGCATTTAGATTTTTATCTTAAGTGATTAATAGCAAGAAACAAACAAGATATGATGAATAGATGTTCTTTGATTATATATTAAAACTCTACTCTGTTCAAGAGCACTTTTATATCAAGAAAATCTTCTTTGATCAGTATTTCAAATGTTACACGTTTAAGGCAATACCAGCATAAAATGAATCTTAAATTTTAAAAATAAAAAATAGTATATTGTCAAGCTATTGAAAACTATTAATATGAAATTGTTAGGATAATTGTACAAGTGGAACAATTTGTATAATACTGTAATCATATCCTAAATTCCAAGACCTAAAACAACCAGGACTTATAAATCTGATCAAGTTGTTTTCCTTAATGGTACTGTAGAGAATGAGAACACATAGATGGGGACAACCGAATGTATTCGAATATGCAATTACAGAATATCTTAGTAAAATCTGAGAACCATATAGTAAATAATTCATTTACAACATGTCAATCAATCGTCTCAAATTTCATTGTTCCTTCGTTTCTATATCAATCATTCTTTGTTCTCGTTCTTTTTTCTTCGATCTTCTGACACCAGGCATTTCACTTTTGACTAACGATACATACTACTTATATCTATTGACATCAGTAGAACACACTACAGTATCATTATCTGAATGAAATTAATATTCGTGTTAGTATTTATAGATAAGTTAAATCACTTTAACATACATTGTTCCTAATTTCAGTTATTTATTTAACTGACAATCATAGAATAATTAGTTAACCAGTTCAATTACAAATAAAAATTGATGAAAACCCAATTCTAAATGAAAGTGTATAGTAATGCATGTAAAAAATATATTCACCAGTTAGTTCTTTCAGAAAAAAATATCGCGATGCTTTATTCCATATTGAATATGATGAAAACTAACCAGATACGTGCTAAAGATAACAGCAAGATATATTGGTCTATTCTAATCAATGATAAGAAGAAGATACATTCGAAAAAGAAGAATTGAAAGTTCTTCAAAAGAAGAAAAGAAAAAGAGAGAAAAAACATTCGTTTAGTGGTTTAATACTTTTGAATAAAGAACATTAATAATTATGTTTTCAAGTTTTAAACTATTAAAGTCAATCTATGAAGTAAATGAATTTCATACTATTCAGCTATAACTACTATTCCCAATTAATTGAATTTAATATATGAATTACAGGTTACTTATTGTACAGTTTCATTTAACATACAAACTTATTCAAAGCATAATGGTACATGATTTATCTTAACAATGACAATAAACGATATATTTGCCTTAAATTTGGATTACGAACGATATTGTCCCTTCGTAAAACTATTTCACTATGTATATATTGGTATAAAGACATTTAGCATATACAATTGATAAATACAAGTTTTGTTGTAATTTCACACTCCAAGTCACAAATAAGAAGACAGAAGACGAATGTGAAGGAATCCTCTTCTAAACACTTTCAAATATGATACAAAACTCTCAGATATTTATAGTTTTCTAGTAAAAACAAAATCACCATTATAGTCATTCAATCCGTATACAGTGGTTTTTAGTACTTGTCCCATAGGGAAACTACACATCGATATTCTGGAATGTTCTTCAAAAAAAACGATTGGATGGAATGTCTTCAGGTCTTTCTGATTTCTTCCCTGAGTTCACCCATAGTCCATCCTTATAAAAAAATTTGTTTGTTTTTCTATTCTCAAATTATAAATTTTCATAATTTTTTTTCATAGATGTTATTTAGAACCAGAAGTTCCAGGTGTTGCAATCAACTATTTAGAGCCTAATAGAATAAAATATTTTCAATATTTTAATGAAAATGATTATAGACCAATACAAATTCATTCAGGATTAGCTGCATCAATAAATGGTTCCACTGGTACTAGATATTCATGCATTGGATCATTGTTCAATACATTCTCTTATGCAATTGATTCAGAAAATGCTCAATGTTTGATTGAATTAAATGTTTTAAATAAAAAACAAATGAATGAATTAATTGAACCAATTTCACGTCCATTCAAATTGAATTTTCGTTTAGTTCTTTAATGTAACCAGGATCATGTTAGGAGTCTTTAATTATTTAGTTCTATTAGAAAAAACAAACAAACAGTAAATTTCTGTCATTCTGGAAATAATCATTGCATTTTCAAGCTATTTGCAACTGTTAGCTTATGTGTTAACTCAAAACTGTCTCATATTTAATCTAATTACTGCAAATTACTTTGTTTATCTTTATTTTCATGAAGTACATCTTGTTTCAAACATTCTAAATAAAGATTTGATCAATTCATCTTCGTTCAATATATCTGGATCATATTTCAGTATTCAAATATTTGCATAGTTGTAAACTATTAATTTTCGTTATATTCAATCTTATTTCATTTGAAAAGTTGATACCCAAAATAAATATATTTTTTTAAAAGCATTTCGTTATGACAAATACAACATTATGAACTATTGGACATATATCTCATAGAAGTATTGGTTAGTTAAAAATTAACTAATAAATTCATTTTAATGAAATCGCTACGTTTGATAGTCTGGTATTACTCTGTTTGTTTAATTACTATGCTCGATTCTCACCTAAATCTAACTCTACCCGAAGAGAATTTGTTTACTATTAAGACTGTGCTAGAGAAGGAGGAAGATTAATAGGCTAGAGTAGGATAGAAAAGGTTAATTAGTTAATACATTTTATAATTTACCAGTATGCATGCATTGATGAGGGTATTTTCAAATGATTAAATCTCCAACGACATTTGAAATAAACGTGTAGTTATGAATGACATCAAAGTTTCGTATGTGAAAAATTAGTCAAAAAAAATAAGGTAGTATTTAACTCGATCACTGTACTGCAGCTATTCTCAAACTCTATAGCTTTACTACAAGAAAAAATAATCTCCAATACCAATAGAAAACGTATGTTGTCTCCTTGGTTATGCTAGTGCTCAAAATTAGTTGCTTATTATCCTGGAAGTACCCGGATATCTGAGATCATCGGTAATTAATACTTCACAAGTCATGTATTTTTTCTTGGATATCTAACTGTTATTAGAAAAGAAATGACGAACTAGTCTATGTCTATCATAGACTATATTCAGAAACAATCCGAATGTCTCATGGTAAGTAGGAATTGTAAAAAAAATCTAACAAATTAATCTACTTCGTTACGCCTTTCATTACTCATGAATCAAGCATCACCGACCAGGAATCTGTAAACTGATTTGTCCCCGACTCTTCTTTTCAGTCGTTTCCGAGTGCTTTTTACTCTTTTAATGCCTGCTTCCAATTCCCACTACAAAGTGTCGATTGTTATACCGTCCTTCCTTTTGCCTTGAAAATTTGAAGCAAGGGTGTGTTTTGTGATGCAGTTTGAAGATTTCATAAAACTGTGTCCTATCCATCCCCAACACGTTTTTCCAATTCACCATTCATTTAAAAGCTAGTTTATCTTTTTCCATGGTAAATTGTTGCTAAGTGTTTCCAGCCTGCTGGTGTAAAGTATATTGTGTAGACAAATGTTTACAAATACCTGTACCTCTTCGACGACTGTTGTAATAGTTCTCCAAGTTCGAGCTCCAAACAATAGACCTCTCTCAATCCTTGCATCTAAAACTCAAACTTTGATGTTGGCTGAGAGTTGTGTTAAGTTCCGATAATCCTCAACTGCAAGAATACTGTTTCTGCCTTGCCAAACTGTACCTTTACATCTACATCAGACTTCCCTTGTTAATCAACGATTCTGTCCAGTAACGTAAAATTTCCACCACTTTCTGAGCTTTATGAAGTGTTGATTGGCTGGCACTCGTTGTTGCATTCCAAGACCTTGCCTTTTCCCGTGATAATGTTGTGGCCTACTGCTTCAGAGGCTGGTACGTATTGACTGCCCTTATCTATATTTGTTAGTGGGTATGAGATGTAAGAGCCGGGTCACCTGAAGTTTAAGTCGTCTATTTCCATCCGAGCTGTCCAATGTATTCTGCGCTTCGTTAAACACCAGAAGTAATAAAAGATGAGAGTGGGCAACCTTGTCTGACATCAGTCTTTATTATTATTATTATTATTATTATTATTTGCTTTATTCAATATTATACTTTGGTACAATATAGAATTCTCAGCACAAGGTATTTCAACAAGTTTCTTTCACACGAAAAAAAGACAAAAAAGGAAGGAAAAAGATGTTTGAAAAAATCTGAAAAACTGTACAACTTTCCAAATTAAAGATATGTTCGGAATTCAGGTTATTGACTAAGTTAACTCTAACAACCTGTTTGTCACAGGGTATATTTGCTAGGTAAGGTATTATAGAACTTTTATACTTTTGCTTGTGTTCATGGATTTTAATGTAATTACGTCTCGTTCTACCAGAAGATATACAAGGAGAAAAATAAGAGTGAAGGGGATGATTAGTGTCTGATAAAATAACACCTGCCAGGAGTTTGCATGACTTTAGATGTCTATCCACAACCATATTTATTATGACCCCGGAAGATTCACCACACACTTTGCTAACTGCCCTCACCACTCTCCGCAATTCAGCAAAGTCTTTTCTCAAAAGCCGGGAAAGAATAATGGACAATAGTAAAGAATAATAGGTAATATGCAAGAATTGACAATTTCTAAGAGTAAATGACGAACAATCACAAGAGCATGCAATCTCTTTATGTCTTCACTCGGAATGCATCTGTGGTCTACACTCTGTGTGATGTAGTCCACCGTATGAATTCTGAATAGTGGTGACAATCTTCTTAACTAAACCGTAGTGTTGAAACAAGTAATACTTGGTTAACCTTTCCACGATGTTCAATGTTTTCTCGTGGTCAAGGAGGCGAATGCATAGTAATAAGTTCCATTATCTTGGTTGCTCAACAGTGATGCGTAGGGTTGCAGTCTAATTGGTATTCAGTGGCCCATTCATCCGACTCTAGTTTGATCGAATGATGTTCATGGCGAAATACAAGAACTGCCTACCCTTGTAATTAATTATTGACTTAATTTGCGTTAAAGAATAACGGAATATAATAAGTCAAATACGATAATGAATTGTGGATACGTGTATTTCATACACTCGTTACCTTAGTCAAACAATGAAAGGCACGAAGAGGGGAGGCTGAGAGAAAACTTCAAGCATGCCAAATCTTTATACTGCTCATTACAAGCGTTAATGTAGCTCAAAATATATAATCCTTAGAGAGACAAGCACCGTACAAAATGGTGAGTGATAGACAAACACATAAAAGTGCATACAAGGCGTATAAGTGTAAAAATACGAGAACATAGAAATAAGATGTGTATGTGTGATGAAGATCACATTTTCTTATCAAAAGAATAGAGTCGTTATGAAGGTAAAAATAACTCAATATTATACGATGTTTGAGTTATTAAATTTTGTTCAAAAGCTAGGATGAAGCAGGTCAGTGTGTATTGGTACCAGACACTACAGGTATGCAATCGATTCTCACAAAAACCGGCCTGTTGATCTCAAAGTTGCGCGTATATTGAACATTGCATTCTGTTTAGCAACACTATTGCAAACTGATAGTAGTGTGACACTTCAGTAGCTCTTACACGACGGTATATAAATGAGGAATTACTCCTCCCAGCTTGTTTGTACCTATTTTTCCTCAAACATTTCACGGGGAGAATGTACAACATCTTCGCAATTACTTTAATGTCTGACTTCAGTACTTCAACTGCTACTTTACCTGATTGTTTTGCTTTGTCTTTCCTGATTTGTTTGATGGACTCAAAGATTTTTTTTCTATTAACGGCGAGGTAAATTATATAGGAAGGTTAGTGTGTGCTGCCTCGACATCAGGTGGGTTCAATGGGGTTGGTCTACTCAAAAACTTTTCATGGTTTTTGACTTATTTGTCTCCTCGCTCTTGAATCTGTGTGATTGGTATGCTTTTTTTGTTGGCTGATAAGTGAGCGTGGAACCAATGTACTGAGTATCTAGAGGAGAAGATAAAATTTCTGTATGTGGTGTTTCGAATTTGTGTCTTGGTTCTTGGTTGAAAACCATCAGCTGATAGTGTGTGTCAAAATAATTCGTTGCAACACATCTTGGTCAAACCGAACATACTTGAATTTGATTAGTTAAGATGATTAATTTCGGATTGGCGTCAACGGTTCATCACACATCCAGCCTGAATAAAAATAACATTTTTCTGTCAGCTGGGTTTGATCGGATGGCATGGCTCGGCCATGCAGGCGTGGTCCATCTGAATGTTACCTTATATCTTCTATTCATATTAAATATATTGTTCTTCCTCTAGCCTAACCTTGTTCTACATCATGTATTGGTAATTGATATGATACAGTGAGTTGGTGTAGTCGATGGTGTGACTTCTTTATTGTATTATACAGCTGTCTCATAATCCCTTTACTTGCAGCTGTCATTTCTGTGTTTTGAAACTTAGTGCTAGAAGATACCCTAGTTTAACTAGGATTGCTAACATCTCTAACTTAAGCTGTACCGAACTTTTGTCGTGTCGCTTGTTGAGCAGTTCAGTGGTTTCTTAGCTTCAACGTCATCTTAATCACCGCCAAGTATCGACCTTATTCTCTCAGTGTTCTTACGCCGTCCATAGATCCTCTGAAATCCCATTAACACAAATGTAATCGATCTGATTCTTTGTAGTGTAGTCCGGTAAAATCATGTGGGTTTGGGTATGCGTAAGGTGCAGTTATAACTATTTTGTGAAACTTTATTTCATCGTCTATATTCCCTTCTCCCAGTCATCCCATGATGTTTTTATAACTGGTATTGATTATCCCGTGATCGACATTATAGTCTAACCTGCGTGCAGTGGGTTTCCCTAGTTCTCGGCACCCTCGGTTTATATCTTTTCATTTCCATGGCCATTTGTATGATCCACACAGTGTCTACATTAGGCGGATACTCCGTGTACTTGAATTAACTGTTACCTTGATTGTCAGGAAGGGTCTAGAATAGTCCGATTAGGGTTCACTGATATCCCGCTGACATCACACTGTTTGTTATACATTTACAGGCCTTCTGTATATGTAAGGCCTGTACGTAT